GAGGCTGGGACTGAAGTACACTCACCCTCACGAGCCGAGGCATCCAGGTCTCTTATAAATCATCTGCAATGGCCAAGTGCGCCCGATCACAGTGAATGTTCAGGATGCACTGACTATCGGGAGTTGAGCAAAGCAAGCAGTTCTCCGCCTCACTAAGCAGTGACTTCCACAAACCAAAAAGAAGAATGGTTAGATCAATGGAGGCACTCTCCAAGAAGGCGAGTCGACGCCTCAAGGGGAAGGCCATCTACGACATCGACGACACTGTTAGTCGGCTGTTGGTCTTGGCGGCAGCAGCGGAGTGTGGATCTATTCAACATTGTCGCGAGTTGATACTGAGGTCCAGTCCCAACATCCTGATCTGATGAGTATGAGATGTTTGAAGAGGGCCAACAAGGCGTGCTCGTCAAGTGTCTCGGTGTTTCTGTCAAGACTCCACCTGCCTCCAGACGGTGCGTGTTGGTTGGACACGCGGTCAGCTGCTGTACCACGTTGTGTGGCCAGTCGCTCGGGACGCAGTGAGATCTGGCTGCAAGCTTTGGTTACTGCTAGCCAACTACCCTCGCTCAAAGGAAATAGTCCTGTTGGACAGGCTATGACAAAGAAGCTGCCTAGGCAAAGGAGCGATGAGCGCAGTTAGAAGAGGACGATCCAAGAAAGTGCAGCTGACCCACACACACCCTGTCCATGCGACAAGTATCTCCACAATGCCACAAACAAGAGTGCACTCACAACATCCTATGCGGCTACTCCCTTCCACACAACATCCGGCTTGTCAACAAGCTTGACTGTCGTCACCCCAATGCTGAAGGCAGAATCACTCTCTGAGCTACATCTGAAGGCGTCAGCAGAAGGCTGCCAGTAACAATCCGCATCCGTCATGATACTACAGACGTCTTCGTCCGCCTCCTGGTGTACTGGATATCAAGATGCGGGTCATTGCTAAGATTACAAATGGAAAGTGGAGTGGTGAGTCCTGGGATATCACAACAGGAACTGTTGAGCGGTTAGGCACCCAGAATTGCAGCCCACTTCTCGGTTCATCGCAGCTTTTTGTAGGCGTGGCGATACGGGTAGTACCCCTTGGAAAAGGAAAACCAGTCAGCACTCAAGAATTCCTGAGGAGATTGTATTACCAGGTCTGGATCAAGTGTTGGAGAGCTTGGCGGCGAAGCCCATGCTTATACCAAACGCGACAGCAGACAGTCTCTTCTTCCCTCTCTACGGACAGAAGAGTTGTACGACAATGAATGATGCACGTACTCGCCTCTACCGCAGCCATAAGAAGCCGTAACAACTGAAGAAACTGCCACCGACTGACGTCAACCTGCAGCTGCATGTGCTCCGAACTCACCTTCAGATGCTACTGTGGAAGGCAGCGAACCAACCTGACCCACCTGAAGAAGCTCTACATATTACCAACTTTGGTTGGAGTATCAAAGGCTCCACCATCACACCGACCATCTCAACAGCGCCAGTTGCTCCCCAAGCGCTCCTGGATGTAGTGAGCTGCAGCTGCAGCGCAGAGGGCAAGGCATGCAGCGGGGATAGTTGCAGCTGCAACCGTGCAGGCCTTTCATGCACAGACTATTGCAAGTGCGAGGGAGGAGTGGCATGTTGTTGTCAATTCACGAAAAATCAGATGGACACCGAAGACAATGAAGAGGAGCTAGGTGTAGATGACGACAATGACAATGACAATGATGATGCGGATTGAGGAGTAATGAGGATGAGGAGTCATAGAGGATTGTGACAACTACTGTTTATTGTGTACTGTTTAAGGCTGTTTGCTATTTTTTCGTTGAAATATGCCTATCTACTATCTATGAACAGTGAATTTACATTAAAGTGTCTTATTTTGACCGTTGACCTTTATTTTGACCTTGACCTTGACCCCATATCCAAAAAATAACTCCAGAAATGGATTCCCTGCCCTCGAAACCCCCTACAAAGAGGTATTGCATGACACTTTAGGGCATCGAGATCACAAATTGTAAATTGGCCAAAATCGAAGATGAACGGCGGCGGCCATCTTGAATTCCAAGAAATGCTCAACGATGCACAGGTAGCCACCAAGCTAAATCAGCTCTTCTAACTATATAGAACACATTTCCATGAAAAAAGTTTAGAGTAATTAACATTGCAGGGTCCCATATAGGACATATAGGGCTGGCAAACCGACTAAAACTTTTCCATGGTTATAACATAGATGCCATGCTATCATAATCAATTTCCATGTGCATATAGACTGGTACCCGGTCAACAGTTCCACACGCTAAACTACGTGAGTACGTGGGTGTTGTACGTGAGTCTAGCCGTTAGGCGGGTCATAACCGGTTAGCGCCGGTTGCCCGTGTTGCACAGGAAACGAGGCTATATGCATATAGACTGGTACCCGGTCGACAGTTCCAGACGCTACACTACGTGAGTGTAGCGATATGCCGGAGTAAAGGTGGCGAACGGGTACCAGTCTACTATGCCTATAGTTTCGGCCCTCGTTGCGCTGTCTATGGCACGCCATGGCATATGTACTAGACTCGTCAACAACAACAAACAAAGAACAAACTTGAAATCAGTTTATTACAGCAAAGAAAGCGCGCCTAGTAGCGAACAAAGAATTGGGAGCATTTCTAGCAAATGTCGAGGTACGTGGGTAGTCCAATCCGTCGTGCAATCGCCAGAACTGCTCAATTCAGTTTGCGCGAAGAATTCCGCTACTATGTAATCCGTGTAAGGTGATGGAGTGGGGGCAGCGAAGTCGTGTTAGATCGCCGCCACCTAGGCGGCGTTGGCGCGCTTCTCGCGGATATCCGGCTGCAGACTGTCTAGTAAACCCTGTTAGTCCAAAATGTGTTCACATACACGCCGAAACAGTGGAAGGCACAGGGACTATCCACTAACCTTTCTCAAAAGGAATGTTCGGTGGGATCGGTATAATAGTTGCCTGAACGAATGGCCGAGTTTAGTTGTCTTCAGGATTAACGATGTAAACTCCATCGTACGTAGTAGCAACAACTATTGCAAGACAGAATGGTAGCACTCAGCCATATCCTATGCAATCCTACCAGGTTGAAATAGAGAGCTTCCACTAGTACTAATTTCAACGCAGGCAAAAACACCACCTTTTGCTGGCAGGGCATACTTCCCTGTACCACCACTACAGTAACCTGAATCCATAGAAATTATAGTCGATTAAAGGAGCATAAACCTTCTTCAACACAAATTAACTTTGAAATTGATCACTGGACATTGTAGCTCATACCAATCAGTGCAATGTAAATCTACCCTAGAACGACCCGGCAGTGCAAAATTCCGTTCTAAATTAAAAGCAAATCCATAGTTTAACGGCGCTCTCTTGAGGTGAAAAGGTTAATCCGATCACTTAACTCTTCGCCGATGTTAGCATGAAAGTACATTTCATGGCCTTCAATAAATCCATAAAAATCTTAAGCATCCTGGTTGACATAAAAAAGTTTTCTCATAATCGCTTCCGCATACCAAGTTCTCACAAACATGTCTAAAATCTGCCCTTGTGCCCCATGACGCGTAACTGTTGACCCAAATTTCGGCACCACGTGATGCTTTACCACCCATGATGCTTATAACACTCTGCCTACAACGAGCCCATAGTCGATTGCCGTTTAGATTTGTGCCAGCAATTCTGCATTTCTCTCTCTAGTACCTAATAAGATAGAATGTTCCCCCTTCTTTTACACCTATTGACCTTTGACCTTTGACCCCCAGCTTCGACATCCCAACTCGTTTTCGGATTACACCCCCACGTCCCGAATATCGTGACCGTACGTCGAGCGGTTAAGATTTGTGCCCAACTGTTGACGGACGGACGGACGATCATGCGATTATCATCATTCTACAAGCTGCACCTGACTACGTCAGATGAGCTAAAAATCAAAACCCGTGTGATATGTTTTGGGCCATTCCTTGTTAATTCACATACTAGAAATGAGCAAAATCCGTTGAACCTGAACTGACTTATGGCCATTTCCATTTTTGCCAAAAAGTGGACGTGGCTCGGAAGTAGGTCGACTGGCGTGCTCCAAAATAGGACGTTCAAACCTCTCCCATGGGAGTAGCAACTGCATGCAATTTTAAACATGTGGGTCAAACGTCTTGAGTTATCGTTGACCGTAGCCAAATGTTGACGGACGGACGTACGACGCATGGCAATAGCTCATCGATCTTGACGATGTCAAGGCGAGCTAAAAACGGACCCTGTAATTTTTTTAATGTTTTAATTAAGGAAATAAGTTGAAAAGATGCACGCAAATAACAACAATTTCGTAAATAAAGAGCCATAACTTCTAAAATATAATATTTAATAAAAATTCCAGACACCGTTTTCTCTTGTTAGCATTACAACGGAAAAAAAATGTTTGGAATTGGAGTTGTGAGTTTCGAGAAATAGTGTTTGAAAAATCAGCAACTTCAGCATTTCTAACAACGGAGATATTAGCAATTTTGTACATTTCACAATGATTGAACGGCTGTGTTTAGAATTGACCAAGGAAAGTAGAATTGCTACTGTTAGTACTTACTGCGACTTATCCGTGACTGTTTAACATCAACAAACTTCAAAAAAAGTCCTGCTGTTATAAATAAATAGTCAAATTAACTGATCTGTTTCGATCTCCCATTCACTGCCCCTAATTAATGTGTTATCGTCTCTATGTACACAAACGCGCATAGCGAGAATTCGAATATGTAAACCAGTGTGGCAACCAATTTTATGACACAGCAAGAATATAAATATATCTATGATATATTTACGTGTGACTGGGTTATTTTGAGGTTTAAAAGCTCGACACATATCCTTTAAAGAACTACCGTTATTTCATTTGGAGCAATATAAAAAAAAGCTGCGCTGGACTATAGAAGCTTTAATCTGGCATCATTCAAAAGGTATCCAACACGTGTTGACAAGTGGATATTACTAGTGCATCTCTTGGTCATATGATACTATTTTCCATTTGCGACGCTAGCATCGGGACAGTTTGGAAATGCGAGCGCATTCGGTAAGAACGTGGCAGTGTGCGGAAACCGCATTGACCTGCAGGAGGACAGGCAGCGAGCTAATTCACGCCAGCAAGGTCTCACAGACATGCCTTCTGTTGATCATCGTCTCCTTGTCAGGTGAGGGTGGTGTGAGGGCAGGGACAATGAGTTAAGTAGACCTTATTTAACCTTCAAGTAAGATCATAGATGGTTGTGTGGATTGTACATTTCATATGCACCGAGGTGGTGTTCTTTTCTCTAGCACCAGTATGGAGAACCAGCAGAGACATCTTAGAGGCAACTGGTTGGCCTACTGGGAGCACGAAGTTGGTGAGTAGTTACTTATAATTAATTGACTACATCACGAATCTTCTACAGTATATATTTGTAAACTATTAATTTGTTGCAATTTTTTACATTAAAAGTAAGCACTAATGGGACTAAATGTATCCTCAAATTCTTACCTGATAAGATTGTTTCTCAACTAGTTAAAGATCCAAAAAACCATGGCGAGTTGATGTATTGATCACGACATTAAATGATTGCTATTAGACTATAGGCAGTACACTACAAATGCATTCAAATATTGACTTTTGTGGTCCCCTCCTTGGCAGAACATGAAACATTGTAGCTAATATGATGCCAATCACTATTCCAACTTATCCCACTCGCGCAACATGCACACTTACCCACAATTCTTGCTCAAATATAATTAATGCAAATTTTTTCAATTTCATGCAATTTTTTCACTTAATGTGATTAAGCAACAAATAGGGCAGCTTTAACTTAAAGGATATTTTATTGCAGCAGGTATCTAAGAAGATGACTTGGGTTAAAACCAAGTATTATATATTTATATTAAAATAGTTTTTTTTACAATTTCCAGTGGCGGATCTACGGGGGGGGGAGGGGTTTAAACCCCCCCGTGGGGCTGCCCCGGACCCCCCTAGCAATAGAGTGCCTCGGCACGCTGGGGTGTGTAGGCCAATCCACCTATAGGTAAACGCCACACATTAGTAAAGACTAGGATCCGACGCCTGCAATTTCTTATGAGTTTTATTGTTTCACATGTTCATTGCAATAAAATAGTATGTTTCACGTTGTAGGGTGGATTTGGGTTTTAAAGATTTGTTAATGGATGAAAGTCATGATTTACCCCTTAAGTAACTACAACCCAATACCTCTTTCTTTAGGGGGTGGGATTCACCAACTACATATATTACTTTTTGTTTGTGGCTCATATCTGAATGATAAGCTGGATAAAAATTCATCTGCATTTGTTGCTGCTGTGTAAAAGTCTCCTTTGTTGTTTGTTTTTCTTTCTTTTTAATCAAAACATATAAAATGCAAATAGGAAAATCAAACACTTCCTCATTAATCTAAAGCATAGGTATAAATTTGAAAAAATATTTCATGGAAGCCCTTATTGCTCTTGGAAAATGATTGCTTCAGAACTCATATTGATACTTTATTGTGATTTTCTGGTGTCTCTTCCGGTTGTATCTGTTGTGTACTGTGTGCCAGACAGATAATGCACACTTTGGGTAGGATATGAGAACTGCGGGATGTTGATGAAGGACACAATGCAGAACTAAGACCTCAGTATTTTTTTCCCGCTTGTAACTTGTAGCAGGCTCTGTGGTTTGTAGGCAGTGGGACTCGGGATTGCACTTTTACCGGCAGCTAAACAAAAAAAATAAAGCAAACAGAAGTTTGCCTATCTACTTTTATTTTGAATTAATCCTATATTACAAAAACAAATGGATTTGATTTGAATATATTTTCTGTATTTTCCATTTAAGCCCCCGGTCACAACGGATCGTACGAAATGTTGTCGTGGTGGACGCCATAAAATATTTGTCGTGGCCAGATCTTGCAACATGCTCGAATGTATTCGAGTGTCCAAAGGGCTACGACACATCAGATGTTTAAGCGATGGTACGCGACAGAAAAAAAAGACGCAGTCTTGAGTTGTCGGCATTGTCGGGCTGTTTTTCACGTGAACAGGTCGTGGTTCACTCGTGGGATGCGCGTGCTAACAGTCGTGGGTCACTCGTGGACGCGCGAGCGCGTCCGTCTCCGACTATATAACGACGTATTATCGCACGACAGTCACAAGACTGTCGTAGACAGACTCACGACAACGAGAAGAGATAGATACACAAACAAGTGCCGCAGAGCGACAGCGTCACCTGACGGCAGGTGTTCTGATGCTAAACTCAGGGGCAAACGAATCAAGAGCACCCTCCCATCGCCGCGTTCGCTCTCCTCGTTGTCTCTCATTCTTTCTCTTTCGCTCTCTCGCTCTTGCTATCTCTTCCCTTCACGCTCTCTCTCTCTCCCTCTCTCTCTCGCTCGATCACACACTTCTCTCTCTCTCTCTCTTTCTCTCTTTCTCTCTCTCTCCTCTCTCTCTCTCTCTTGCTCTCTCTTCCTTCACGCTCTCTCTCTTCCTCTTCTCTCGCTCGGGCATCACACTCACTCTCCCTCGTTGTCCTCTCTTTTCTTGTCTCTCTTCTCTCTCTCTCTCTCTCTCTCTCTCTCTCTCTCTCTCTCTCTCTTCTTGTCTTTGTCTTGTCTTTGTCTTTTCTCTCTCTTTCCTCTCTCTCTCCCGTCTTCTCCTCTCTTCGCCTCCCTCCTCTCTCCCTCTCTCTCCGCTCTCCCTCTCTCGCTCCTCCTCTCTCGCCTCCGTCTTTCTCTCTCTCGCTCTCTCATCTCGCTCTCCTCCTCTCTCCGCTCCTACCTCTCTCTCTCTCTCTCTCTCTTTCTCTCTATCCTCTCTCTCGCTTCTCGCTCTCTCGCTCTCTCCTCTCTCCTCCCTCTCTCTCTCCCTCCTCTCTCTCCTCCTCTTCCTCTCTCCTCTCTCCTCTCCTCTCTCTCTCTCTCTCTCTCTCTCTCTCTCTCTCTCCTCTCTCCTCCCTCTCTCCCTCTCTCCCTCTCTCCACTCTCTCGCTCTCTCCCTCTCTCCTCTCTCCGCCTCCCTCCCTCTCTCCTCTCTCTCTTCCATCGTACGTAGTATAGTAACAAGTTAACAACTATTTGCAAGACAGAATAGGTAAGCACTCGTCCATTTACCTACACAAGCCTACAGGCTGAAATAGAGAGCTGCCACCTGTACCTAATTAACGCAGGCAAAAACTACACCATACTATCCACCACCATGCACTGGCAGTGGCATATTAACACACTGACAGTACAGAAGCCATAGAAATTATACGATTTAAGGAGCATAACCTTCTTCAAGCAAATTTAGCTTTTGAAATTTCACTGTGACATTGTAGCTCATACATCCAGGCATGTATAGATTCTACTGGCAAACCCAGCAGTCAAATTCTTTCTAACACAGTAACAGTTAACAAATCCATGTTTAAATCCCTCCTCTTAAGGGTCAAAAGGTTATCAGACACTTACTCTTCGCACGTCAGTGGAAACACACATTTCATGGTCCTTTCAATAAAGCCATAAAATGCTAGGTCACCGCTGAAACAAAAAAGTTTTCCAATCGCTCCGTCACACCATGTCCTCAGAAAATGTCTAGAATCTGCCTGTGCTCATTGACCTTTGACCTGTGACCTCAATTTCGGACAGTGATGGCTTTTCCTACCATGATGCTATACACCGACTATCACGAGCCTAGGTCGAGCCGTTTAGATTTGTGCTGCAATTCTGCATTTCCTCCTATACCTTAAGTTAAGGAGGAATGTTCCCCTTCTTTTACACCTCTTGACCTTTGACCTTTGACCCCAGCTTCGACATCCCAACTCGTTTCGGATTACCCCCCCACGTCCCGACTTTCGAATCCGTACGTCGAGCCGTTTAGATTGTTGTGCCCAACTGTTGACGACTGCACGCACGGACGCACGCTCATGCGATTCTACAAGCTGCATCTGACTATGTCAGATGAGCTAAAAATCGTGGAACAAAAAAGGTGCATGTTCAATTTTGCATCACGACGGCAAGTCGATGCCACGATGCTCAAAATTTCGTAGGACTGTCTTGCGACGACCCCCGATGACCCACGATTTGCCCAAATTTTTTGTCGTGTCGTGGCACAAATGCGTCGGGGGCTCGTTGTGATCGAGGCTTTACAAGTTCAACAAAATAGTACAAATGAATAAGTAAGTATAAACATAATTCAAATTATGTGAAACAGGTATAACATGTCATTACATAATTATAAATAAATAGAACAAAACCGTACAACATACTTGCGAATTTTGTTATGTTAAATGTATAAATAACTCATAGATCGAAGGAAATAAAAAAATAAAGGGAGGCCGTCATCATAAGCTGAGCTTGACTATTACTAGGGCTGATAGGGTCTATGTCCCCCAGGGTGCTATCGGAGGGTACCCTGGGTATACGGTTCGATATATCAGAAAGTACCTCGGGGTACTATACGATATGTCGCTGCGTACCCTGCATTGTCATACCGTACCCTGACTTTCAGCCAACTGGTCATGAAAATCATGCAGAACCATATACATATGGTTTTGCAGAAAAATGATAATTTTTAGTGGATGGCAACATTTTATGCTTCTCCCCTATATTGCTGGGTGAGGTATTACCGCCGCAAGGTATTGCCGCCGTCACGTGCATATTGATTTTTTTTTATTTGATGTCAATATCAAACCATTTTTATTTATGGTAATGATAGTATTACAATGATAACATTAAACGAGACTACTAGCTTTTATAAATTTTTTAAATTATTCATATTATTTGATGATTCATCAATTAATCTCAATATTTTTGCTGTTTCACAGACTGTGTCACAGTATGTGTGTGAAAGTCAGGGTACGGTGGGAAAATGCAGGGTACGCAGCGACATATCAGATAGTACCCCGAGGTACTTTCCGATATATCGAACCGTACCCAGGGTACCCTCCGATAGTACCCTGGGGGACATAGACCCTATCAGCACTACTAGGATGAGGCTTCAAGGGGAAAATCAAGCTTGTAATTTTTTACATAAAGGTGGGAGATAAAGATAATAATAATAATAACAAATGTTAAGAGAATGTGTACTGTATAATAACGTATGTAACTTAAGTTTAGTCTTACTCTAGCTCTAGTAACTATAGCCCGCGTACAGTTGCCGCTGGCTATAGCCACTAGCATATAGTTACTAGAACTAGTCTTACTCTTAGTCTTACTGTTTTAGTCTACGCGTTCGGCCTGCTGCAGTTAGTCAGTGGGTTGTACACCTAGAGTTATATATGTAGCGTTTTAATATGTATGTACCATTAACAGATGCAGCCTCCAGTTTCTGCTTTGCAACTAATCCCCGCTGTTGCTTTGTGGAATCTAAAATACTTGTAGCATTTGCGGTGAAATCCAGCATCTCGTGGCAAGGCCAAGGGCACGGCATGCGGCCCAGCGGCAGTGACTCCATGAGTATAGATGAAATTTTTCGCAGTTTGAGCTTGATTGCCCACTAAAACATTCCAAATTGCAACACTCCGTAGAAACGTGGTCCAAGTTAAATCTTTGAACGGTGTAATTTCACTCTCAGAAACACCTGGGGTTGTGACAATAACACAGTATTTTCAATGGCTCCGTGGGAGCATTCATGTTGGAGTCCTTAGCCACAACATATGTACAAACAGCGTAGTACGGCTCTTTGATTGGATTATTTACTTCGCTCTTAGCGCATGTGTTGCAACGCGGGACCTAATTGGACAATTCTCCGTCATTTTACTACGCGTTGTCGGTGAATAATAAGCTGAATTTCCTCATTTTCCCTCAAAATTACTAAAAACCTCGCGGGCCTTAGACGTGGGATGAGATGAAAATCGTTCTTTCCCTTTATTTACAAAAGATTTTCATGTTCTGCCGGGGAGGGGATCACAAGACTGAAAGAACGGAGAGGACGGCCTATAGTCTATATGGGCTATGTATTAGTCACGAGTGTTTGTTCACATCGAATGGAATAGCAAAATAGGAAGTATAATGCAGCAATTTAATCATAAAAAGTGAACAGAATCTCGTACATTTTGTAAAAAAAAGTGGGCATAATTGTTTTATTTTTACCATTTATGGTGTAATCATTTTAAGTATACAGAGGTATCACCAGCTTCTATCCAATGTGACTGGATTTACATTTTGCTGAGTTATTTTTTGGAGATGAAAAGATTCCCAGACACACTCCCAGGCTCACTGTTCTCCTCCTTGCTTTCTCACCTCATTGCAGGTCGCAGCGAGAAGGACAACCGCTTTGCATTCAAGCAGATCAAGCTGCAGACGTTCGTCGGGCACAGCAGCAGCGTGCGTAGCATCGTCGCCCTCGACAACGAAAACTCGTTCCTCAGTGCAAGCAAGGACCGCACCGTCAAACTGTGGTCGCTGCGCAGCCAGGGTGACGGTAGCGCATGCACGCCATGTCAGTGGACCTACACAGGACACCGCAAGTCAAAGTCAGTGTTTGCAGTCGCTTTCCTTGAGTCGATGCGACTTGCTGCTTCTTGTGACGGCAGTGTGCACGTGAGTACTGACCGAAGGCCTGGTGGAGACAACAAACTAAGCCGAGAAAATTCTGTTATATATTGCTACCTGTGTATTTAAAGCAGCTATCCAAGATCAAACCCAGGTATGGCCAACCATGCAGGTTTCCTCACAGCAGCCATGAGCCAATGAAGCAGTATGTGCATTTCAATGGTGGCAAACCATACTCTTGCAAAGTACCCTAGTTGATCTATTGTACTTTTGTAGTGGCTGTCTTTGATCATTTGTTCAGATCTGGGATCCATTCATGGGTTCGTGCCTGCAGCAGTATGACAGCGCGATGCATGCTCCCATCACTGCTCTGCATGCGATGCCGCCACCATCACCAACATTCATCGTTGGTACAACCGATGCCACACTACGATTCATCGACTGCCGACAGCAGCGCTACCTGCATGATTACAAAGTTACCACAGTACCAGCAGGTAAAATTTTTGGCAAAATATTGAAGCCCAGCTCATTACATGTGTTATGTGCGATGTTAATAGTAATATCAGGAATATATAATATATTTGTGCACATAATAAACATTATAAAGTGTATACAATATATACATGTATACAATGTATCTATTCAAATATATATTTGTTTTCACTCCTGATATATTGTAAAGATACAGTAATACCATTTATAGATTATAGTTAGATCAAAAGAGATTGATTGGTTGATTATTATCACTTGATGATGCTATGATTGATGATTGATGTTTGTGATGCTATGATTGATGATTGATGTTTGAGTACCACAATTAATATTGGTTGGTTTCAGGCTTTATACGTAGCATTGCCGTCAGCCCAAACAGTAATTGGATTGCAGTAGGCCTTACTTCAGGTGTCATCTCGGTATTAGACACACGGACAGGCATGCTACTAGGCACCTGGAAGGGACATGATAGTGACATACTGCAGGTTGGTGCCATACTACACATAAGATTATAGGGAAATATTTTATAACAAGTGCCGCAGAGCGACAGGGCTCATCTGGTGTCTGGTGTTCTGCTGATAAATTCATTTGTGCATAGCAAGACGTCCTATACATACGTTCATTTCTAACCCCAAAAAACAACACTTCAAACTAGTGTAATAACATTCCGATAGATGGTGGGCCGCTATCAAAGGCATCGTTGCATCGGTCAGCCAAAGCATTGCAGCAATGGCAGCTGTCAATGTGACGACGGATTGCAAAAAGCAGGAGCGAATAATTACCATATTATTACTATACATAACGTGCGTTCTATGGTGTCAGGTAATAAGGTACCTTAAACCCCTTGCGAGGCACATCTGGCTCGTTAAAAATAGCTCAATGGTTGATACAACCAGAGCAGCTCGTCCAAGATTACAATTTACAGCAATACGATAGCAAATATCTGTAAACTAATTTCAGTACAAGGTAGGCCAGTGATTAGTGGGCCGAATAAGCTCAAGAACGTACACACTTGCATCTATATTGGTGCCAAAATTTGATGAGAAAATTAAGTCTGGGAAATCCGCAGCCTCACTCCTGGGTAATTATTTGAGTGCTAGTGACTGTATTCCAACTATTCATAATGTACACTACAGAATCTCATATATTATAAGTCATCTCATTATCTCCTAAGTAAGCGATGTTCAAGTAAGAGTTATGTGTGGAATTTCACTGTAAAATGGGAGCTTTCCACAACCACAGGTTCTCGCCAACGCAGTTGAGAAACAAATCAATGTTTAACCCTCCTCTTGAGGGTCAAAAGGTTATCCGACACACGTAACGCTCTTCGCACGTCAGCAGAAAGTACATTTCATGGTCCTTTCAATAAAGCCATAAAAATGCTAGGTCACTGCTGAAACAAAAAAGTTTATTAATCGCTCCGTCAGACCATGTCCTCAGAAAATGTCTAAAATCTGCCCTGTGCCCCATTGACCTTTGACCTCCAATTTAGGCACAGTGATGGCTTTTCCTACCATGATGCTATACACCGACTATCACAAGCCTAGGTCGAACCGTTTAGATTTGTGCCGCAATTCTGCATTTCTTCTCTATATCTTAAGTTAAGGAGGGAATGTTCCCCCTTCTTTTACATCTCTTGACCTTTGACCTTTGACCCCCAGCTTCGACATTCCAAATTGTTTTGGCAATCCCCCCAACGTCCCGAATATCGTGGCCGTACATCAAGCGGTTAAGATTTGTGCCCAACTGTTGACGCACGCACGCACGCTCATGCGATTCTACAACTGACTATGTCAGATGAGCTAAAAATGCACATCTATGTCAGTGTGGTAGACCACAACACATTTCAACAACGCCTTGCTATTGTAAAAGACCAGGAGTTCTACGGTGTAAATATGTTTCAGGTAAAATGCTTCAACAGTAACCACTTTGTGACGACGTCACTCGACCACCACATGTCTCTGTGGAGCGCAGACACATGCCTGCTTGTCAGCATGCTGTCGGGTCAGGCTGAAGCTGTGCATTTGCTCGGATTTTACAAGAACGACATGATCTCTGGTTCAACCGACAACCGAATCGGTGTTCACAGCAACCTGACCGGGCACGGGGTAAGCGAGATACGCCATGCTTCATAGCAATCTTTCACCAAGTTTCGCTTAGACAGTTAGAGGTGTTTCTCTACAGTTCTCATCCTGTCACTGTTGTTGCAGACATCCTACTCCAGCGTGAGGTTGCGATCAGACGTGTTTCGCGGAATGCTCACCGCGATGACAGTGCTGCCACTTAACAGGCTGTTGCTCCTGGGGGCAGACAATGGAACTATTCGGCTGCTGTACTGAACACGAAGTAAAAATCATGAATCATGGGGTTGAATTCTGAGAGATTTCAGACACTAGCGGGATGCAGTCATGTCATAATAGCTGTAGTAACTGATCGAGTTTGTATAAAATTTAGATCCTGATTTAGCATATAACATTGCAGGATGATATTTAGTTTCTCACATTCTAGTGTGCGTGCGTGTAATTATATGTGGCTATTTAATATTTATTGCATAAAATAGTGTATTCAGCGCCACAGCCTGCAATCATATGTAATGAAGAACATTCATTTATACGTGTAAATTCATGCATAATAGATTAAGAAATATAAGCCATTCTTCTATTTTCTAGCTTATTAATATATTATTAGTATGATTCATTATAATGAAATGACCAATATTGAATAATAAAATGTTCAGGTTGGTTATGATTCTGTTATACACTGCAACAACAAATATCGCTTTCATATATTAATATCTGTATTAAGGGCACATGAATAATCATTATTACACAATTTTGCCCAACAGCATGGAAAGATTTTCATTTCATTTTATTTTTATACAGATGTTTGATGAACTTGGGGAGGGGGGAGGGACTGGATACATGTACCAATATTGATATCGTGGTTCAGTGACTTTCTTTACCCAGGTGTCCAAACTGAAACAAAACCAAAACTGTGATAATATGAATCGTACAGGTGCAACAAGCTATCTGATCTCTGACATCTCCAATCGATAACACTTCACGTATAAATGTACAATTACAAATGTAAAATTTGCACCAAGTACATCACAACGATCCTGTAACTGAATAAGAATCAAAAGGAAACGACCTCAGCCCGTCTTCAGCTAAGCAGTACTACTTCTGGTAAATGCTACTCCTCTACATATCGCCTACTCCAAGCTAGCATGATGGCGTGCAGAACCTCATAATACTCTTATCTTGAGCCTACCTGCATAAGGAATTGTGAGGCATTCTGCAGGTCAGTGCAGCCATATGTGATTCGCTTCGTTCCCATGCCAACTCGAGATTTCACGTAATCGACGAGGTTTTGGTATTCTATGTAGTTTCCGCCGCCGACCATGAAGACAAAAGCCTCCTGGTAAGGCTGTTTATTGCGTGGCACTGAAGAACTGTATCACAGCATAGTCGTCAAATTACAACAGCATCCAGTGGTAGATAGCGAGAAATCTGTACCATGATATATTTAATTTCCACCACCTTAACGACCATCCATGAAATTCGCAGTACGGTATTTTTAATGTGTGAGAGATTTTCTGATGCGTTTACATTGTCGATGTGTTGCATGAGGGCCATACCTGTCTGATGCACGTAGCATCTTGGGGTCAAAGTACCTGTAGTCGTCCGTCTCATCATTTGGCTTCATCTCCATAAGTGCATCGACAATGCGCGTAACAGGAAGTTTCTGCAAAGAAAATGTCCACATACTCATTCTGGCCCGCACTCTACTAATGCCAACACGGTACCACGTGTAGACAAGTGGCATTTGCTTGAGCAATCATAGGAATTTTGTGTGTGCACATCAACAGGAACTGATATGTTACCCTACAAATAGATTAAATATCTGGTGTTGACGCCAGATATAGGGCTATGTACCCTTGGTAGAACACCAGGTACCAGAACGAGCTATCCGACTTAGGTACCACACTATTGTATATTAAGAATTGTCAAGATTTGCAATTTTTGCTTGCTAAACAAAACTGTCAGTTTGATCACATCTATGTCAGTAAAGGAAAACATGATATAATCCTCACTTATAAACCAATGTATGCTGTGGTATGTGTACCTGTCGTACTTTGCAATATGCTCTTTAACTCTTTAACTTACATGCTTTTTAACAACCAGGTTCTTTACTCCTTCCATGACAAACTTCGAGCTGTCAGCCATGAGTTTGGAAAACATGCTGAAACAGAGTTACATTTCAAATACATACTGAGACGACCCCTCTACAGATACCCACTGAAAAATGTCATGACAATTTACCATTCAAAGTTTATAACAAGTGCTGCGGAGCGACAGCGCTCATCTCACGTCTACTGCGGTGACTCTGTGGTGGAGTGGTGGGATTCTAGTAAACCCTGTTAGTCCCAAATGTGTTCACATACATGCCAAAACAGTTAAAAGCACAGGGATGGTATCAGGAACCTTCTCGAAGGAATGTTTGTTGGGATCGTTATGAAAGTTGCCACGAGAGGGCGCGTACGTTTAAGTGTCTTCAGATTAAAGATGGAAGCTCCGATCGTACATAGTAGCAACAACTATTTGCAAGACAGAATAGGTAAGCACTCATCCATTTACCTACGCAAGCCTTAAGGCTGAAATAGAGAGCTGCCACCTGTAACTAATTAATGCAGGCAAAAACTACACAGTACTATCACCACCACATGCACTGGCAGTGGCCACTGGCAGTGGCCACTGGCAGTGGCATAAGTTACATGTAACACACTGACAGTACAGAATGCCATAGAAATTATACGATTTAAGGAGCATGAACCTTCTTCAACCAAATTTAGCTTTTGAAATTTCACTATGACATTGTAGCCTCATACATCCATGCATGTAGAGATTCTACTAGCAAACACGGCAGTCAAATTCTTTCTAACAGTAAACAAATCCATGTTTAACCCTCCTCTTGAGGGTCAAAAGGTTATCCGTCACTTACTCTTCGCATGTCAGCGGAAAGTACATTACATGGTCCTTTCAATAAAGCGATAAAAATCGTAGGTCACCGCTGAAACAAAAAAGTTTTCCAATCGCTCCGTCAGACCATGTCCTCAGAAAATGTCTAAAATCTGCCCTGTGCCCCATTGACCTTAGGGATTTGGGTTTTAAAGATTTGTTAATGGGATGAAAGTCATGATTTACCCCTTAAGGGTAACTTACCAACACCATACTCTATTTTTTAGGGGGGTGGGGGTTCACCAACTACATATTTTACTTTTTTGTTTTGCTCTATAATCTGAATGAAACCTCTGAATAAAATTCATCTGCATTTGTTGCTGCTGTGTAAAAGTCTCCTTTGTTGTTGTTTTTCTTTCTTTTTTAATCAAAACATATAAAATGCAAATAGGAAAATCAAAACACTTCCTCATTAATCTAAAGCATAGGTATAAATTTGAAAAAATATTTCATGGAAGCCCTTATTGCTCTTGGAAAATGATTGCTTCAGAACTCATATTGATACTTTATTGTGATTTTCTGGGTGTCTCTTCCGGTTGTAGTCTGTTGTGTACTGTGTGCCACGACAGATAATGCACACTTTGGGTAGGATATGAGAACTGCGGGATGTTGATGAAGGACACAATGCAGAACTAGACCTCAGTATTTTTTTCCCCTTTGTAACTTGTAGCAGGCTCTGTGGTTTGTAGGCAGTGGGACTCGGGGATTGCACTTTTACCGGCAGCTAAACAAAAAAAAATAAAGCAAACAGAAAGTTTGCCTATCTACTTTTATTTTGAATTAATCCTATATTACAAAAACAAATGGATTTGATTTGAATATATTTTCTGTATTTTTCCATTTAAGCCCCGGTCACAACGGATCGTACGAAATGTTGTCGTGGTGGACCCATAAAATATTTGTCGTGGCCAGATCTTGCAACATGCTCGAAATGTATTTCGAGTGGTCACAAGGGCTACGACACATCAGATGGTTTAGCGATGGTACGCGACAGAAAAAAAAGACGACAGTCTTGAGTTGTCGGGCATTGTCGGGGGCTGTTTTTCACGTGAACAGGTCGTGGTTCACTCGTGGGATGCGCGTGCTACAGTCGTGGGTCACTCGTGGGACGCGCGAGCGCGTCCGTCTCCCGACTATATAACGACGTATTATCGCACGACAGTCACAAGACTGTCGTAGGACAGACTCACGACAACGAGAAGAGATAGATACCACAAACAAGTGCCGCAGAGCGACAGCGCTCACCTGACGGCAGGTGTTCTGATGCTAAACTCAGGGGCAAACGAATCAAGAGCACCTCCCATCGCCGCGTTCGCTCTCCTCGTTGTCTCTCATTCTTTCTCTTTCGCTCTCTCGCTCTTGCTATCTCTTCCCTTCACGCTCTCTCTCTCTCCCTCTCTCTCTCGCTCGATCACACACTCTCTCTCTCTCTCTCTCTTTCTCTCTTTCTCTCTCTCTCCTCTCTCTCTCTCTCTTGCTCTCTCTTCCTTCACGCTCTCTCTCTTCCTCTCTCTCTCGCTCGGGCTCACACTCACTCTCCCTCGTTGTCCTCTCTTTGCTTTTCTCTCTCTCTCTCTCTCTCTCTCTCTCTTTCTCTCTCTCTCTCTTTCTTTGTCTTTGTCTTTGTCTTTGTCTTTCTCTCTCTTTCTCTCTCTCTCCCTCTTCCCTCTCTCCCTCCCTCCCTCTCTCCCTCTCTCCCGCTCTCCCTCTCTCCCTCCTCCTCCTCTCCCTCTCGTCTTTCTCTCTCTCGCTCTCTCTCTCGCTCTCTCCTCTCTCCCTCCTCCTCTCTCTCTCTCTCTCTCTCTTTCTCTCTATCGCTCTCTCTCGCTCTCGCTCTCTCCTCTCTCCTCTCTCTCCCTCCCTCTCTCTCTCCCTCCTCTCTCCTCTCCCCTCTCTCCTCTCCCTCTCTCCTCTCCTCTCTCTCTCTCTCTCTCTCTCTCTCTCTCTCTCTCCTCTCTCCCCCTCTCTCCCTCTCTCCCTCTCTCCCTCTCTCCCTCTCTCCCTCTCTCCTCTCTCTCCCTCCCTCCCTCTCTCCTCTCTCTCTTCCATCGTACGTAGTATAGTAACAAGTTAACAACTATTTGCAAGACAGAATAGGTAAGCACTCGTCCATTTACCTACACAAGCCTACAGGCTGAAATAGAGAGCTGCCACCTGTACCTAATTAACGCAGGCAAAAACTACACCATACTATCACCACCACATGCACTGGCAGTGGCATATTAACACACTGACAGTACAGAATGCCATAGAAATTATACGATTTAAGGAGCATAAACCTTCTTCAAGCAATTAGCTTTTGAAATTTCACTGTGACATTGTAGCTCATACATCCAGGCATGTATAGATTCTACTGGCAACCCAGCAGTCAAATTCTTTCTAACACAGTAACAGTTAACAAATCCATGTTTAAATCCTCCTCTTAAAGGGTCAAAAGGTTATCAGACACTTACTCTTCGCACGTCAGTGGAAAACACATTTCATGGTCCTTTCAATAAAGCCATAAAATGCTAGGTCACCGCTGAAACAAAAAAGTTTTCCAATCGCTCCGTCACACCATGTCCTCAGAAAATGTCTAGAATCTGCCTGTGCTCATTGACCTTTGACCTGTGACCTCCAATTTCGGACAGTGATGGCTTTTCCTACCATGATGCTATACACCGACTATCACGAGCCTAGGTCGAGCCGTTTAGATTTGTGCTGCAATTCTGCATTTCCTCCTATACCTTAAGTTAAGGAGGAATGTTCCCCTTCTTTTACACCTCTTGACCTTTGACCTTTGACCCCAGCTTCGACATCCCAACTCGTTTCGGATTACCCCCCCACGTCCCGACTTTCGAATCCGTACGTCGAGCCGTTTAGATTTGTGCCCAACTGTTGACGGACGCACGCACGGACGCACGCTCATGCGATTCTACAAGCTGCATCTGACTATGTCAGATGAGCTAAAAATCGTGGAACAAAAGAATTCATGTTCAATTTTGCATCACGACGCAAGTCGATGCCACGATGCTCAAAATTTCGTAGGACTGTCTTGCGACGACCCCCGATGACCCACGATTTGCCCAAATTTTTGTCGTGTCGTGGCACAAATGCGTCGGGGCTCGTTGTGATCGAGGCTTACAAGTTCAACAAAATAGTACAAATGAATAAGTAAGTATAAACATAATTTCAAATTATGTGAAACAGGTATAACATGTCATTACATAATTATAAATAAATAGAACAAAACCGTACAACATACTTGCGAATTTTGTTATGTTAAATGTATAAATAACTCATAGATCGAAGGAAATAAAAAAATAAAGGGAGGCGTCATCATAAGCTGAGCTTGACTATTACTAGGGCTGATAGGGTCTATGTCCCCAGGGTGCTATCGAGGGTACCCTGGGTATAGGTTCGATATATCAGAAAGTACCTCGGGGTACTATACGATATGTCGCTGCGTACCCTGCATTGTCATACGTACCTGACTTTCAGCCAACTGGTCATGAAAATCATGCAGAACCATATACATATGGTTTTGCAGAAAAATGATAATTTTTAGTGGATGGCAACATTTTATGCTTCTCCCCTATATTGCTGGGTGAGGTATTACCGCCGCAAGGTATTGCCGCCGTCACGTGCATATTGATTTTTTTTTTTATTTGATGTCAATATCAAACCATTTTTATTTATGGTAATGATAGTATTACAATGATAACATTAAACGAGACTACTAGCTTTTATAATTTTTTAAATTATTCATATTATTTGATGATTCATCAATTATCTCATATTTTTGCTGTTTCACAGACTGTGTCACAGTATGTGTGTGAAAGTCAGGGTACGGTGGAAAATGCAGGGTACGCAGCGACATATCGATAGTACCCGAGGTACTTTCCGATATATCGAACCGTACCCAGGTACCCTCCGATAGTACCCTGGGGGACATAGACCCTATCAGCACTACTAGGATGAGGCTTCAAGGGGAAAATCAAGCTTGTTTTAATTTTTACATAAAGGTGGGAGATAAGAATAATAATAATAATAACAAATGTTAAGAATGTGTACTGTAATAATAACGTATGTAATTAAGTTTAGTCTTACTCTAGCTCTAGTACTATAGCCCGCGTACAGTTGCCGCTGGCTATAGCCACTAGCATATAGTTACTAGAACTAGTCTTATCTTAGTCTTACTGTTTTAGTCTACGCGTTCGGCCTGCTGCAGTTAGTCAGTGGGTTGTACACGCTAGAGTTTATATATTAGCGTTTTAATATGTATGTACCATTAACAGATGCAGCCTCCAGTTTCTGCTTTGCAACTAATCCCCGCTGTTGCTTTGTGGAATCTAAAATACTTTGTAGCATTTGCGGTGAAATCCAGCATCTCGTGGCAAGGCCAAGGCGACGGCATGCGGCCCAGCGGCAGTGACTCATGAGTATAGATGAAATTTTCGCAGTTTGAGCTTGATGTGCACTAAAACATTCCAATTGCAACACTCCGTAGAAACGTGGTCCAGATTAAATCTTTGAACGGTGTAATTTCACTCTCAGAAACACCTGGGTTGTGACAATAACACAGTATTTCAATGGCTCCGTGGGAGCATTCATGTTGGAGTCTTAGCCACAACATATGTACAAACAGCGTAGTACGGCTCTCTTGATTGGATTATTTACTTCGCTCTTAGCGCATGTGTTGCAACGCGGGACCTATATTGGACAATTCTGCCGTCATTTTACTACGCGTTGTCGGTGAATATAAGCTGAATTTCCTCATTTTCCCTCAAATTACTAAAACCTCGCGGGCCTTAGACGTGGGATGAGATGAAAATCGTTCTTTCCCTTATTTCAAAAGATTTTCATGTTCTGCCGGGGAGGGGATCACAAGACTGAAAGAACGGAGAGGACGGCCTATAGTCTATATGGGTATGTATTAGTCACGAGTGTTTGTTCACATCGAATGGAATAGCAAAATAGGAAGTATAATGCAGCAATTTTTCATAAAAGTGAACAGAATCTCGTACATTTTGTAAAAAAAAGTGGCATAATTGTTTTATTTTTACCATTTATGGTGTATCATTTTAAGTATACAGAGGTATCACACTTCTATTCCATATGTGACTGGATTTACATTTTGCTGAGTTATTTTTTGGAGATGAAAAGATTCCCAGACACACTCCCAGGCTCACTGTTCTCCTCCTTGCTTTCTCACCTCAATTGCAGGTCGCAGCGAGAAGGCAACCGCTTTGCATTCAGCAGATCAAGCTGCAGACGTTCGTCGGGCACAGCAGCAGCGTGCGTAGCATCGTCGCCCTCGACAACGAAAACTCGTTCCTCAGTGCAAGCAAGGACCGCACCCAAACTGTGGTCGCTGCGCAGCCAGGGTGACGGTAGCGCATGCACGCCATGTCAGTGGACCTACACAGGACACCGCAAGTCAAAGTCAGTGTTTGCAGTCGCTTTCCTTGAGTCGATGCGACTTGCTGCTTCTTGTGACGGCAGTGTGCACGTGAGTACTGACCGAAGGCCTGGTGGAGACAACAAACTAAGCCGAAAAAATTCTGTTATATATTGCTACCTGTGTATTTAAAGCAGCTATCCAAGATCAAACCCAGGTATGGCCAACCATGCAGGTTTCCTCACAGCAGCCATGAGCCAATGAAGCGAGTATGTGCATTTCAATGGTGGCAAACCATACTCTTGCAAAGTACCCTAGTTGATCTATTGTAGCTTTGTAGTGGCTGTCTTTGATCATTTGTTCAGATCTGGGATCCATTATGGGTTCGTGCCTGCAGCAGTATGACAGCGCGATGCATGCTCCCATCACTGCTCTGCATGCGATGCGCACCATCACCAACATTCATCGTTGGTACAACGATGCCACACTACGATTCATCGACTGCCGACAGCAGCGCTACTGCATGAATTTACAAGTTTTAGGCGCACAAGTACAGACCCGCCCCCGCGCGCGGG